CGGAAATGACCTTTTAATCTGGTCAACGGCTTGACTAACAAAAAAAATGGACGGAGGATGACTGTCGTTAAATTATCAAAGGTCGAGGACCCGCGAAAGAAAAAAAAGAAAACGTTGAAGGCGAAAATGCAAAAAAATTGGAAAGTTTTGGGACGTTTCGCGCAAGAGGGTTGGTTTGGGCCGTGTCTAGTCTCTTATCTTTGACGGGCCACAGTTAGTATTGGGCTGAATAGTTTATATGATGAACCCTTTGCCATGAGAAGTAGGGAAAAATGTTGGGAACAAATGAACAATACATATGAATATCTAAGATTTTTACTTTACACCATTTTAAAAATACCAAAACAAGTTTCAAATTTCAAAAATCAGGTTTTTTTAAGTTTTTATTTATGAACATATTTAATACTAATATAACAACTATTCCGATTACCGTTCCGGTCACAACTGATCTCCGGCAACCGTTTCGGCGACTACTCCAATTTCGACGACTATATTAAGGTCACAGATATATGTAATTTGGTCACAATTCAAAATTTTTCAAGTCACAGTTCGTTCATCGGTCACNTAAAATTTTAAAAGTCACAATTGTTCATCGGTCACAAATCACAAAATTTATAAGTCACGCAACTTATTTTACGATCACAAAAATCAAATTAATTGCTCACAAAGTTATTTCGAAGTCTCAAATTAAACATTTTATAAGTCACAATTTAATTCATTGGTCACGAATTAAAAAATTATAGATCACAGTTTATCGATGGGTCACAATGAACCAAAATGCCGGTCACATACACCAAACACCCCACCCTAGTCCCGATCCTTCGTCAATGTTTTGGTCACAAACCAATCAAATAATTGGTTACAAACACTACCCCACTCCCGCCCTCGCCACAATACCACCCAAACCACCACCGTCAACCCCTCACACTACCACCGCCATCACCTGCACTGTAACACCAAAAAAATCTCCATCGCCTGTCGTTCACCCGCTATAAAAACCACCACAACCACTGCCACAATAACAACACCGTCTGCAACGACACCACACCTCACCGAGACCATCACCAGATCTGCCGCCAACAAACAAAGCTAACTCTACAGCAGATCGCCACCCAAACACCACCACAAACTGAAAATAGGCCCAAAAACCACATCATCCCTACCATGATGGGCAGACCACAGCCACACGAGTATCACCACCACAACCCCAACCGCGAGCACCACAGCCACGCGAGCACCACCACCCAACCCAACCGCGATTTCCAGCAATATCTTCCAGCTACATCTACAGCACCACCGTGCACATCCCCGCAGCATCCATCACCACACCACTCAAAACAAGGGAAAGAAGAATCGGAGAAGGGACAGCCAACGTCGCTTTACTCCGCGATGTTCGAATTGCGCTGCTGAAAAACAATTGAATCCACATCTCTCGTATGCGATTGGGCGGCGGATCTGTGGGCTCTAGCCGGCGATGAGAAATGGATATGGATATGTGGGTACAAATTGCGCTACTGAAAGGACCACAGATCTAGATCTGTGGGCTCTCGCCTGCGAGGAGATATGCGGTTGGGCGGTGGTTTCTAAGGATAGAAACGGGGAGGAGAGAATGGGACAGAGGGGAGAGAAACCGTTGGCTCTCGTCGGCGGGAGATGTGCAGTTGGGCTGGGATGGGGAGGAGAGAATGGGCCGGAGGGGAGAGAGTGGGACGGTAGGTGGAATGAATTTTAGGGTTGATTTGGGTTATTTTAATGGGATGAAAATTAAATAATTCATATTAAATTAAATATAAAAATCTGATTTTTGAAAAGTTAAACTTGTGATGAGATTTTTGAAAATGGAAATCTAAAAGTAGGGCTGAGTGTAATTTCTTCAAAAATGTTTGTACAACCCAATTAAAAGGCAGGTCTATCAAACAATAACCCCATGTCTGTTTAGTAGTGGTGTCAATTGGCCAAGTTGAGCCATTCGACCCATACTCGCACGAGCTCGGCTCGTGTGAGCTTGTGGCTCGTTGGAGCTTAAGCTTGACTCGTTGGATTTTGGGCGAGCTCGGCTTGTGCTCGAGCTCGTTGAAAACGAGCAGCTCGGTAAGCCAAGCTCGCCCAAAACGAGCAACTCGACTTGCCGGCTCATCAAATTTGACTTTTTTTTAAACGCCACTATAACTAAATCTTAAATTCAAAAAAATATATATACATATTTTCTATTTTTTTTAAAATATACATTTTTCAAAACATTTATAATTTT